CTTGAACTGCAACTCCTAGCCCTTTCATCGCCCTTTCACACTCCTCATATATACGCGTCCTGCCACCATCTTGCCAGTTGTCGTATTCGAAATGCAACCCCCGGCGTCGGTTGCAACTAGGTCACCGGCAATTACGCTAGTTATTCACTTGGCTATGCTAAGGTAGGGAAAGGAGGGGGCTATCGTGGCGGGCTCGGAATTTAAGATTCGCCGTGCATGTGCAAGCCGCGAGGGGTTGGTCCTGCGTCCCTCTCCGCAATGTCATCTCTTTGCCTACAGCATTACTTACGATGCTGCTACATTCCGCAGCTCTTTGAATTGCGTTTTTATCTTCGCGGCTTCTTAAAATTCTACTCGCCATTCACGCTAACTTGCTACTGTTAAAAGAAGCAATCGCTTTTAGATTAAGATTCCAGGCTTGAGAACTGTATTTAAACAGCGATAGAGAGAGTCTACTTGTGGAATATATTAAATTACTACCAAAATAAATGTTATAATAACAAAAAACCGCTCTTCTTTTCATATATGTAAAATTGGAAGATTACTTATTTAATAATTAAGAAAGAGTTGAAAGTTAATATTTATCTACTTGTTATTTTTAAGTGATTAATTAACACAATCTTTTGCCGAATCAGTCGCGTAAGTTTCCCTCAATCGTTCATATAATAAATAATAACACAATAATTGTATTTTAATGATAATAATTTAAGTGGCGTAGTAATGTGACAATATTGAATGATGAAAACTAAATATCATTTCCAATAGCCATATCTAGGATATATTGCTTTTCGTATTGCTAGTACACACGCTTCACTAGTGATGTTGACCACACACAGAGTCAAGCGATGTGAACCTGTTGACAGGCAACCAGAAGCAACACCTGTGACATCAGAAACCATGTAATAATCTGTCGCTCTACATCACAGCGCGACCTCGTCAACTTGATGCATATGCGAACCATAAAATACATTCTGCATTCCGAAACTCAAATCTAGATCCAAAGATATTTCAAAGATTGTGACAGTGATCCTCGGATGCGAATAACGTCTCAGTTGGAAACAGCAAGACGCGACGAGAAACTTCACTACTTAAGAAAATATATTAAGCAAGTATAGATTTAAAAAAAATAGAAATTTATATATAAAATAAAAATGTGTTTTTAAAATCTCATGTTAAACATTTAGATTGTTATTATCAAAATGGTAATGCTTTCTGCTTTGATAATATTTTACTAATATATTATTAAATATAATACTTTTATTCTTATTTACGTACCGATAATGCGTACATTTTCACATGATACATGTACGGTCGAAAGTTTCATGTGCACATGTGCGCATTCATGTACTAGAAGGTTAGTTATCTCATAAAGAGGATATAGTGGAATACTTCGAGTTGTCAAATTATCATTTCTGCATATGCATAAGCGCAACGGTGATGTAACGCAACATGTACATTTAAAAGCGCTTCGCACTTTGCGTGAACAAGCAATGTAACTTGACGCGACAATTTCCGGTGTTATTAGCTGTTTTGTCATATGCCGTTTCCCACAAAATCTTTGCAATATTATACATTCACATAGGTATTAATTATAATACAATGACTTGTATATTATACACACACATATTGTGTATTTTAAATAAAAAGAATTGGAAACAATATCCATTTCCACATCTGTGACAGATGCAATTAATAGTACTACACAACGTTATTATTTAAGAAACAAAAATTCAAATTCAGCTTTGCGATACACGTCGAAATCTGAATAAAGCATACAGAAATGTATGTTCTGTACACTGCAGAACTATTCCTTTCTCCTTTTAAATCCGATCACACGAGAGATTCATCACAAAAGAAGATTTATTCAAGCTATTTTTCTTACGGTATTCCACAATCGATAGAGAATAACATTTTCGAGATATTTTATCGCTACGGCATATATAGCGCACACAATCGTAGATGTATTGTCCAATACATCTTAAATGAGCCGACACACTTGCCGCGGAAACTGCCTGTCCCACGACGCGATAATATTTTTAACACATTTGCTCATAAAAATTCCATCTAGCCGCCGACACTCGAAGCGAGCGCCGAACGTCACCTGCAGGTCATGTCGACATCGTATAATATCCTCGGACCGACGCATCTCGGTTTACGACGTGGCTCGTGAAGTCGTTACACATACGTTTCACGGCGAGCAACTGGCCCGGAACCAGCCCTCGACCGAGGCAACTGCGCGACCTGTCCCGCGGGACTGACGGACGGTGAGAGAGACGACATTGTTGTCCTTGGAAAGCGACCCACGCCGATAAATCGCGACACCGAGCAAGTTTCCGCGAGACCGGGCACGATCGCGGAAAAGTGCAAAAATGGCGATACTCCATTCCGAGCGTTGGAAAACGAATCAATTCCCGATGGAAAAGTTTCGGCTGCTTCCGAGCAAAGGCAGAACTTCGGCAATACTGAAGTGAGCGGATGGAGTCGCGCGACACCTAATATCTACGACGAATCTATTCCGATCGAGTCCCGTGTTCGTTCGACCATTCGCACGTTGACGGTGAGCGTATTACAGTCAACGCGAGTAAACAACAAGTGATCGCGCTTTCGTCGAACGAAGAAAATAAATATCGGGGAGACGATAGATCATCTTTCGGAGAGAACACGTTGTCGATGAACCATTAATCAATATCTCATCCAAATCTCGAATTCTGTCGTAAAGATCATTAAAAATAAGATAGTTTTTATATAATAAAAACTTCTTCTCGTCATATTTCTTTACATTTAATAATTGATTTCAATTGCTTGTTTCTTAAATATCGCGTTTTGATTTATATAATAAAATTCCTGCGATTTTTGCATCTCGAATTTCTATATTCCATTATTACAACGAATTTGTTCTCGTTAAGATCTTTCGTACTAATAGTCGCGAATAATTAACAAGTGCTGTATGTTCGTGATTTCACGTTTATTGCGTTCGTAATGACGAGATATCGCATCGCGTATCCATTATTTATTCAATCGATAGCACACCAATGTTATGCCTATAGATTATCGTTTGTCCGCTGTTTTAGCACACTGTTTCAGATTACAATGCTGAGATTACCGAGAACGGCGCAATCTCCTCTCGTCTCTTTATTCATGTATGTATGTTTGTAATATGCACGAATGCGAATGCAGGACGAAATGCACGCAAGTGGATAGATATATATGCAACACGCGCCACGTAACCATCGCCGATGCAGTCGGGTCTAATCTGAACTAATCATACACATGTACGGTAACGTAATCTCCAATATCCTCGGTTATATTGAATGTAGGTGTGGACGCCAGAGCGAGAGCCGAAACCTCTACGCTTTAGTTCAAACACACGCACGCACGCTAACTGCTCAAATGACTTCTTGCAATAATGAAGACGTAATGAAGACATGTCATAGCAACGCGTGCGATATTACTCGACAATCTAAATATTAATCCGTTAGTCGCAATTTTCAACTTTAAATACTTTTCAATTAGGCCACGCGTTAAATTATCCAAAGATTTAAATATATCAAAGATCAAAATATATAATTCACAAAACTCTTTTTTTAGTGTTACTCCATAATAATTACCATTAAAAGCACATATTTAAAATACACAGCTAAATAAAAGTTATAAAATCTATATCTGAAAAAGCGTATAATAATCGCGCAATACTAATATCATTAACAATAAAATTTTATTGAAGCATTTACACAAATTCTACCTATTTCTTATATATGAATATTAAATTTCGGATTATATTCGAATTGCATTCAACATCAAATAATAATTCCAACGAATAATAAATAGCACGACCAAACGTCGATTATTACAAGCGCGTTTAAAAATAAGCCGTTATTACTCGCTCGTGTTGCTAAATACGATGATTACATTAATAATCCTTTTACGTAATAATCAGTTCGCGAACGTTATGAAATTTGAAGTAGTGCCCAGCGGAGGAAAAATGTTTACTGATTATATAAAACATGCCGTTTTGCATTATTGGAATTTATAAATAGTTTAATCAAGAGAGCGAAAAATATTAAGATTATCAATTTTTAAGTATATATATATATGTATACGCCTTTATTATGATCAGCGTGTCGATCATATTATACGGTAAAAGAGTTTTCATTTTATTAGAGAAAATAAAATTAATTTTCTAACTGCACAAATCAAGCAAATTTTCTTCCAATGTTTTATAACAGACTACTTAATGATTTTTAACGCGTCTTTAAATATTTTTAAATAATTACACTCACTACACATGTGAAATAGATTTTTTTTATCGAATAATATTTGTCTAAAAACTCTCAAAAATAACTGCGACACTCGGTATATTCTCGACTTCACCACTTCAAAATCCATTTCCAACTGCAGGCTCTACAGGAACTTCCACCAAATTCTTGTTAACGAGTGTCCAATTGACCAGTCTTTAAAACGGCTCGTTAAAACTAGGAGCGATTTAACAACCATCTCCAGCTAACGAATATAGAACAAGAAAATTAAGAAATCGTCAAAGATTTAACGAACATCATTTGATTGAAAGACATGATCGTTCTTTTGTCCCAATTTATATAACTATTTCCGATATCCGTGCCGTCCAGAATGATAAAATATTAACGCGCGGTGATTAAATGAAAATCCTGTGAATCATTAACTCTAATAAATAAAAGCGACTAATTTTTATTATTTCACTAATGAATTCAATCATTTTATGAGGTAACTTTTAATCATTATTTACGAAGGTTTTAAAAATAAACCGAAATAATAAAGTAGTAAATCATAATTTCACTTAAATTGCTAATATTTCTAAGAGTTATTTATAAAAATTTATATTTAATAATTTGCTCGTATCTCACCTAAAATATTTTTTAATAAATTAAAATATATATAACTAAAATATCTTACAAATAAACCTCTACGAATTGCTTCCGAAGAATGCAAACGTTTAAACTAAATTGCAACTAAATTTTTTACAGACGCCGCGATCGAACGGGGCAAATCGATAAAGGAGAATGAGCGGTCCAAATCCATCAAGGATGTTCTGGCGCAAACCGGTGGAACCGCGCTGCTACCTTGCCGATACAACGGTCCTGGAATAGTAAGTACACATATACAGCGACGCGCAAATATGTACGTTTAATATGGATACACGAGGCGAAGAGCGCCATATGATGCAGCATATGATGTGCATATACATTATACGCGACCAATGCACACAGAGGAAATTTGGCTTATGTGTAGCACTATCGTATGCACGCAGAACTACGTGGCTATATGTATATTTATCCCCATCATAATTCGCCTGACCACATTGCATGTCGTAGTATATATAAGTACGGGTCTGTAAACAGATACGGCCATCACTAGCGTAAGCGGCCATCGCTGCGAGAGCACTCCAACTTTTTATTTGTGAAAAAAGTCGAAAGACGAATTTTATTAAACTAAAAAATTTACTTTATCTGTGGTTAAATGTCTGATTATACTTTCTACAAAGAGCGGGAAAAATTAAATTAAATCTATAATAAAATCTAATTACGTATTATATTATATTTCCACGAGATTAAGTAGATCATTAAAATTTCAATTTTGTTCATTACTTTGCAATTTCTTCCCTTTCACCAATTTAAAAAATATATTACACTTTTTTACGACAATTTAATTACACATTCTAATTATCTATTCTAACATTGTGTAACATTAACGTTTTCACGTGAATTGTTACGAAAATGTAACTTCCACTTCCAAATTAAGCAATGTTTTAATTACGCGAAACTTAATTCAGATACCAGAGCTCTCCATACTTCTTTCGCAGTTCCTTAAAGTTCCTTCGAAAACACGTCGTCCGTCAGTCTGACAAGACTCTCGTCGTACCCCGCGGGAAATATGCGCAAATTTTCGCGTGCAATTTCGTTCTACTCAACCCGAATACGGGGTGGTCCGTTTACAAGGAGGAAAACTAGAGTTCTCAGCGCGCCGACCGCCCGCGGTTGACGCTCTTGCAACATTAATGCCGCGAAATTGCATCCTAGCCCAAGAAGGAGGTCTCCCTTTCTTCCGCTTCGCCTGCCTCTCGCTCAGCATTCACGACAGCCCAGAATCAGGCCGATTACGCACAATGAAGTGCAATAATGGCGTAACGCCGAGGATGAATCTTGGGATTACTTGAATCTCGAAAAGATCAATATCTATTATCGGCATATCCTATAATGCGCGCGATATTGTTAAACATACGATAAAAGATCTTGCGAGATTATCGATATAAAATTTACTGGCAGGATGATTTGAAGATTTCATCGGCTAAGCTGCTCCGCGAGAACTTTGCCGAAGCCCTTAAATCCGCAACCATTTAAAAATCAGAAATTATTTTTCAACACGCTCAAATAAATATTTTTTTATCAAATCTTTTAAGGTAAAGTAAAAAAGGCATAATGTCTGAGATTCTATCTACTGTATAAATAAAATATGTTGATGTACTCAAGAAATGAATTTTTCACACCGCAAGAAAGATGAAAAAATTTAAAAGAATGGCTCGAGTATTTTCACCATATACAGGGTGTCCGATAATTGCTGAATCACCTCTTAGGTGCAGGTAGAGCGGGTTAAACCGAGTAGAAAAGTCCTCTATCGTTTTGCGATTTTCGCAATAATTAATGAGAAATTAATTAAAGAAGATCGGCCAATTTGCGCGAGTCTAAACGCGCGGCGAGAAGAGACAGCCCGTTGTTACGTGGTCGCTAGGACGCAAGGATCTAGCGTTACACACCGCTCGTATGTGCCGTTGTCATTTATAGAGCGCTCCTCCCAACGATTTATCGTGCGCCTAGTAACCAAATAACGGTGGGCTATATCACCACGGGTCTCTTCTCGCCGCGCTCTTAAACTCGCGCGAATTGGCCGATATTTTTTTAATTAATTCCTCATTAATTATTGCAAAAATCGCAAAATGACAAAGGACTTTTCTATTCGGTTTAAACCGCTCTACCTACACCCGAGAGGTAATTCAGCAATTATCGGACACCCTGTATATATCGTTATTGCATCCGCAAGACTGTATACAATCGCTATGATATATTTTATAATTTCGTTTCAGAACATTTACGAGGTTTGCGGCTTAAATGGAATATTGTGTTTGAATCGCTTATAAGACAGCAAGAGAATGATCGGACTTGCGGTTGGCAGCCATGCTGGCGACAGTGGTTATTATTCCGCAAGAAATCTAGGAGCTTTATGCAAAAACATTTGATGATAGTAGCAAAATTAAAGCAGAAGTGGAAGATATTTGAATAATAATAATAGAGATCAAAAATACAACTTAAATCAAACAATATCGATTTCATATGTTCGTTGAAAAATAGTTCCAAACATTTTAACACCAAAGTAAAATGTTATAATAATAATCTTTCCCGCCAGTTATTTGATGATGACCTAATTAATCTCGATCTCTTTCCTCACACCATTCGCGAATGCGGACAATTAGAGAGAACCGAATTTAATGATAACCGTCATCGCGTCAACAGAAATGTCGCCGTGTAATTGTCGGTGCGACCACTGCCGGCCAATCACAATTAGACCCGTCTGCATGGTAAACTCAATAGCTATGTCGATCCAGCGCCGGTTAGCCGTTTGTCAGAGACCGTCAAACTACCGCGATCGCAGTAAAAAAATATTTCAAATTCATTCGCGCTTCTCCCGGGCGATGTTACGTACTCAACGCGTGTTGTTCCGGCGAAATAGCGTGAGCAATTAATGCGATCGAAATTCGTTCCAAAGTGAAAAATCAGGCCGATCGTTTATCCGAGAAGAGAGCAAATGATTGAAGAGAGTACGCGTGCAATCTGTAAAGCGCCGTCTATCTGCCGGACAAGGATAGATTACCGCGGTAATCAATTTTGCCTGAAAAGGCCCGATATCATACACACATCGCAACAAAATAATGAGATCGCCGCGTCGAAATTCGCGTGGCAAGTCGCGCGGAACGAAGTAATAACTCTCGATTAAAGCGTGTTAAATTGTCAAGAAATAAAGCCCCGATTATCGGATGATTTGATTGAATTGCTGATGTATCGGCTATTAATCTCGCGAAATTATTTCTATTCGTTTATCTGTATTTTATTGTAATATATGAGAGAGAAAACAATATTATCCCTCTCGCACTCATTTTGTTTTTAATACCCTCTCAACCTCCAATATCGAGAAACATATTTAACGACACATTAATACGAAAGGAATTTAATAACACATAATGTAGTGCTGTGAAACTAGTGATAGATACAAAAACTTTTACGAAAAATTTTATTGTAAAAAAAACTGCAAAAAATATCACAAAGGTAATTCGATGATGGTATTCAGCGTGATATCAAATTACGAATAAATAAATGTATAAAAAAATAATTAATCGATACTACAACTAATTATTCAATTAAAATTACAGAAATGTGCTATTGCAAAATAAAATGATTAAAAGTTTATTTGCGCTTATCTCGTACATGCGTCTCACCACGCGCGTGTGTAAAAAGGATATTTTATTGTTACTAATCGCGATATGTGTCTCACGTGTCCGCATCAAGCCGTATAATAGCCCGCGCGATCGATAGGGCACACGACAAAAAGCTAACAAGGGCCGAATGAAAAGTAGATACCACTGGAATGACAATGCCATTCCTGCGGTCTTTGAAGTGCCAAATTCCGGCACTTCATTCGGCGCCAGCGAGGAAATTGCACGAGAGAATTGCATTTCCTTTGTCCTTTAAACCAGAGAGTATCGCGGGTTACCTTTGACCTGTCGTTGACCATTACTATTCAGATATAGAACACGCCCGATTGAGTGGCTGCTTCTATTCGTTGTTGTGACAAGTCTATTCGTGGTCAACAAATTATGCCTGTACGTATTACATTCAAATTTGATACGCGTGTTATGAATATCGTATTACACTGGAGATCAAAATCACAGCACTACATTGGAGATGAAAATTGCGAATTAGAAATTAGAATTCGACCGATCAAATAATCTCAGCTCAATTTGTTCTAATATATATATAGATCAAATTCCAATCTTCAATCTTTGATACATAATCTGATATGAGCTTAAGGCTTTTAATGTTCTTTTTATTTGAGTTACTTTGTGGAAAATAAAAAGTTAAGTTATATGATACATATCGTGTGTCGGAATTATGCAAAACGCGATTTTAAATCGTGCGCTATATTTTATAGTGTTCCACTTAAGTAAAAGTATTGCAGCACCTTATTATTATTTAGTACATGCGATATAAATTTTAATGCAAGGTTTTCCATTATTGCCGTATTTAATGCAACAAAGTGAGATAAATCAGCTTGGCCGTTTTTTTTCCTTAGGGAGTCATTCGAATATCAGAGCTAGAAATAATTAAAAAATAGAGTCAAGAACAATTAAAAAGGACGTTTTACACAATTTTTTTAAATAAACTGCAATAAAATTTTACTATGTGGTACATATAGCAGATTATTTAATACAAAAAATACGAACATTATAAAACAATGTTAATTTTTTAAAAAGTTTATAAAAAAAATTATTTCAAATTCAGATCTCGCTCTCTTTCTTTACTTTTTTTTAAAAAAGCACATACAGCGTTTTTTATAAATAAATTGTGACAATAAAAAAATAATAACTAGATATAAAGTAGATATAAAGTCATATTTTAAACAATTATCACAAAATTGGAATGTGCTATATCCAACTTTGAAATGTCCAATGTATCGCACAAACGTATCACTTAAATCGCATTGGACATCTTCAAGCCGGATATCGCTGTCGTTCGTCAAACTACTAAGCCAGAAATGATCCAATTATGTATGAGAACGGCGAATAAATTGCATGTTGACATTGAAGCAGCTTTACATCCAGCCGTGACAGTTACTGATATAATTACAGTTTAAGCTTCGGTCCCATCACCGACTATTAGTACGTGCGAACGGAATCTAGGATTGCTTCCTGCTATGTCCGCAACTGACTAATCAAATCGAGTTAAATGTTATTCTTGATAATTTGCAGGACGCGTTAATTTATTTCAACCGCGTTGAAATGACCCCTGTCGAGCTGGCTTCCACACCTTGCACAAATAA